AAGCTGTACAAAATTTACAAATGTTATTAATTTGAAACAATGACTACAGGACAAATGATATGTACTTTAGGAACCATTCAGATGTGCAGCTGAGCATCTTTTCTAATGCAGCTACACACATGTGGACAAACACGTGCACACCCTGTGTCCACTTCCTCAAAAACCCAGTTCTGAAAAGGTGTAAGTTGTTTCACTGACAATAATCAACATTGGTGCAGCTTCCAACTTTCAAAAGTGCATGAGGAGGCTCAGAACTGCCAATGGTCAAATTGACTCCAGTTGAAGCCACATTATTATGGTGAACATAGATTCTTGGGCACAACTTTAGTCACATCCCAGCAGTGATGAGAATGACAATAGGACTTGCATTGATATCACACTGACACATTTCTCTGAAACCTTTTAAAGCACTTCGCGTACAGTAAAGTGCAACGTTTGTTACATAAGCAGTCATATGCTGAATCCTAATTTGCTGCCAAAACCCCTAAAATAATTAGATTACACTTTTGCTTCAATCAAATCAACATAAAACTAATTTTTAGAGGCATTTACTCTCTAACTGGTTGTCTGCATTAGTTTCAAATTTGGTTATTTGAAATAGAGCTCTTTTGGAAACCTCATATTTTCTTTATGATGAACTCAAGATGAATTTTTAATTGCTTGCCCATGATTTCCTCCCACCTATGGCTTCCCAGTGAGAAACCTGTTTCCAAATCTCTATCACTGCATCAATAAAACCAATTATAACTCAGAAGATCCTCTTGCTATCCATCCTTCTCTCTTCCCGTGAAAAATTATTGAGCCTGATATTGGTACCTCTTCAAGCCTAACCCTCCACAATGTCTAAACCCTCCAGTGACACCAGCTTCAGAATATATAAAAAAAAAGCAAAATAATTGCAGATGCTGGCATACAGAAACGAAAACAGAAATTGCTGAGTTTTTCCAGCAATTTCTACTCTTGTTCCAGTTTCAGGATATTCTACTTAAGCGTAAATGATTAAATGGCACAAAAGTAAGAACTTAAGATTTAAACTAGGCTTATAGATGTATTAAATATATTGAGAAATGCTCCCAAATTTGAATCAAGCAAAAACAATTTGTTTCCCATGACTTCCATCAATCATAAAGCAATAATACTTTGTGCTATAACTTTTCAACTTAAATTCAGATTATTGTTTTCTATTTTGATTTGAAGGTGAGATTCTTTCGTCAAATACATTTTCTAATGTGCCCTTTTGCTGATCAGTCTATGATATAAATCTGGCTCAACTAAGAAATAACCTAGACTTGTATGTGTGCAACTCTGAAGATGACCAGTCAGTTATCCAAGAGTGGCCTTAATGTCTATCTCTGTGAATCTCTGGTGAATCTCTGTACTCTCCTGGGAGTGGTGAGGGCCTTTCCCTACCCTATCTGCTCTTTCACCATGACTTCCTCTGTTGACTCCATTAAACACCATCAGAGTCTAGGGGATCAATTTTGGAGAGAGGGCTCTCAACTTGAACTGTACCCTCACTCCAAAAAAATACTCTTACAACTGTGTGGGTAACCTACCTAAATCAGATAAAAGGCTCCTTGATTGCTGTAGGTCTGTTTTGGGCCATTTCTCATCCCTAGTACAAGTTTTTAGGCTAGTTAGAATAAAGTGGGATGGAGCCTCAAACAATTTGACGGCCAAGCAACGAAAAATATCAATACAACTTTAAACTAGCACAATAATTCAGTTGTTTGTTCATTTATTCTGAATAAAACACGCATTAGGATACAATACTTACTTCTTCAAAGGTTGGTATTTCGGGTTGTGTACCTGTTTGTTACCTGACCGTGGAATCAATAAATACTTTGAGGTGACCAGATAAGGAACTTTTGACTAATTAGAAATGAGTCCTCATTTGCATTGTTATTGACATTCTAATGTAGAGACAAATGAAACTATATTTTTCAATCATTCCTGTTTCTTTATGAATGCTAAATGGATTGTATCCACAACCTCTCTGTATTGTCCCAAAACAGGTTGAAACCCACTTACCTACAGGCCGGGGTAAACAAGTCTAAGTTATTGTGATTTAACCTGTAAATTTTGTTAACAGTGAGATGGTCTTTTTCTTTTCCTCTAATTTTACTGCAGTTACTGATGAAGGGTTAAACCAATAGAGGCAAGTCAAGTGCATCACTTTTCACATTATGCACTCATTGACTGTGCATAACCTCTTCCAGAAAATCAGTGACAAAATTTGCAGTGTTCTGTTCTAAGCTCATAAAGCTAATTGGTATGAACTTTACAGCAACCAGTTGTTAATAACTATGTAATAAGTGGGAGCAGATGTTCATGGTCTGAATGGGACAGAAAGGTCCAGGTAAGGGAAAAATGAGTGGAAATGAACCATATCAGGGTGAAAATTGCAAACTGTCTGTTCATCTAAAACTGGCAACTTTGTTTCAGAAGTTGTCCTTGTCTAACATTAATCCTGATCCTATTACGGCTCATTACATTGGCTGTAGATAATGCTAGGATTGATGTAGTTTCCTTCATTTCCTGAAACTTAGGCAATTAAATGCAGCTGACAATAAATAAGAAGATAGCTACTTACAGGCCAATGTTCCACCAGTCACTTCATACCCAATTGCAATATACACTTTGTTCACAGATTTGTTCCCCATTTCACTCTTCATCTTTTGCTCATTGCTACTACAGAACAGTAAGGGACCATTCTTAATGTTGAATGGTCTTAGAAGAGCGAATCTTTCCTGCAGTCAGCTCTGCACAGCCTATGCCCTAACTATGAGCCATATATTGAATTCCAAAGGGTTCTCTCATCACTGGTTTCACGTAGAAATGCAATGGCCCAGAAATGTCTCATTCATTGCCATGCTTAGGATTCCAATAGACTCCTCATTCACTCTCATTGAATAGAATTGCAATCAATCTAGAAACTTTTCAATTGTTATCCTGGAGTTAAAATTTGTGAGGTGGCATGGACTACAAGGCTGCTCTTGTTTCAGAGTTAGCACAACATTCAGCCACTCAAAAACTATTCTCTGTAAACATAGACTTGCAAGTAACTGCACCACTTCCCATACATTTCCACTATGTAAAATTTCAAGAGGCGAAAGAACTTCACATTGACTTTCACCATGTAGAATTTCAAAGAGTCAAACTATTGAGTGTCTTCCCATGCATCAAAGCTGCTTCCCATTTGCTCCTTCTGCAAAGATTTCCTTAGTACAACACAGTTAAATGCAAAATCATTAAATGTTCATCAATTATCCACTTTTTATGCTAAACTTAGTACTTGGTTCTCCTACGGCACAGATTAGAAGTCGCGTTGTAAAATATTTTAATTAAACTGCTTTGATTGTTTTGCTTCAAGTGGTTAATGATTAAATGGCACATGGGCTTAGGATTTGCAAATTGGCTTCTTTCTAAAAAAACACTAAGACAGGAACAAATAAGATTCCTGATCTTAAGCATACATTTCATAGCAAACTGGTTTATGTGAATCTGGAATTAAACATTATGCATGAGCAACTGAACTTTATGTCACCTATTGTGGCATGGTATTTATGATGAGTTGCATTAGAACCAGAGAAGATGTCCTATTGTCTTCACGTCATGACATTTTCTTCTATCATTGAAAATGTTTTCACGAAAGAAAGACTGTGCCATCTCTGAAATGACTGGTGCAACAAGTTATGTGTGGAGTCTTAGATTGCATTCAGCTGCATTGCCCATTTCATTGGCCAATAATCGCACAGATGGAGGGGCAAACATTTCCAACAGCACCTTCTGCATTTTGAGGATGTAAATCGAGAAAAAAGTTCAGTATTTTACGAAGCTTTCTTTATACCAGAGATGAAAGTAAACTGATTCATACTGGAGAGCAAATCTGTGTGGGAAGGTTAGAGAGACTGTCTTTTTAGCTAGATTCAATCCCAGCTTACCAGAGTTGAAGGGCACTGATAGAAGACCAACATTGTGTTGTTTAGCTATGCAATATTAACTGTTTGGAAATTAGATGCAAGAGGAAAGATTTGAACAGTTAAGGTCTTCAGATTTTCCACCAGTCTACAACAGCTGTTTGTTAACCACCTCCCCTGTGTGTGTTTCACCTCTGATTTACACACAGTGTGCTTCACTGGTCACACACTTCTTTAGTAACCTAATGTTGGCAGAAAATCCAATTCCCTTAATGTCCTTGTGCGGCAAGATTATTATGAATTGAGACGGGTAGATGGCTTGAGATGGTGAATGGCCTAATCCTGCTCCTATGACCAGGCAAAGATATAGTAAGTAGAAGTAGACCCAACAGCGTGCACAGAGTGGCAAAGTTAGAATGTTTGTCTCGTTGTCAATGCAGCCTCCCTCCTCATACACCATACATGTATATGTAACTATTGACACTGGATACTGGACATTCCATCTAAATTTATTTATCACATTAAGTGGGAACCCTGCACCCGGGGTTGCATCCAACATTCTCGGTAAAATAAATATCTTTTTGAAGTAAAACTGAGTTGTGCAACAGAATATTTGTATCTACAACTTATTTTACAGTGACTGTCTCAACCAACTCTACGCTCGTCACTTTGCTTGTAGATTTGGATTCCAGTGAAATGCAGCCGACAGTAAGGCCATCTCAAGGTCTGTTTCCTCTTTATTGATTAAGGTAAGAACGCAGTTGCCTCTTTCTTGAACCATCAATGTGTTTCCTTCATCTTTGACATTCCAGTCAACAAAACACTTCCAAACTCACATACGTTTGTCTTCCCTTGCAAGCACTAGTTCACCAGCTAGGTCCACTTGGTAGATGCTTGTCCCCGACCAGTGGTTTGGTCCATAGATCTCCGTGCTGTATTTGAATTGGATTTATTTCCACAGAGTGAGGAAACCAAAGCTGTAAACACATACATTGCTTGCTTCAAATGTCCTGCAGCTACTGTGGCTACTAGTCCTCTTCTAGATGTCTCCATTGGATCTCAGACTAATGGTGTGGTACGTTAAAATTGAGGATGGTCCATGTCATCTAGCCACGAGGCAGGGCTTGTTGGAAAGTCTGGGTAACCGGCACTGCTACCTGTGGAGATATCAGAAGTAGGACCGCCTGTCATCATTCTCAGGGCCTGGCTCATTCCCTGTCCACCTTGTGCTATAATCCCCAAATTATTGTCAACATAGCCAAGGCTGTTCATTAAGGGGGTGTGTGCAGGGGCTGAGGCTACAGACGATGGGGACTGAGGGATTCCATAGGGGCTGCTGGCTCTCAGGTCATGGTACTGCTGCCCTATGGCATCGACAGTGAAGCCTCCATTCAGTAACTGTCTGCCAGTCATATCACTCACACCACTGTAAATTCCATTGGTGTGGCCAAGTTCAGAGAGGATCTGATCATCTGGAATAGTAAAGTACAAGCAAAATAATTAGTGGCTTTGGCCAAAGGCAAATAATTCTTGCAGACTATCATTGTAATTGCATCTCTTTTTAATTATTGTCTACTCAAAATGTTTGATGATAACACACATCATAAATAATCAGAAGCTTACATAGTAGATTAGCTCATTTAAACAAAGGGGAGGTTACAGCTCATTCCAGTTGAAGGGTTACACTCTAGAACCAAATAATGGGGGCAATTTTACATAAGGCACAAAAACTCCCTCAAAGTGACAAAAATGGGACTTATGCTGCAATGCTAGCTTAGCCTGTGTGAACCAAAATTGGCTGACCCTTAGAAGACAAAGGGTGGTAGTGGATGGAAAATATTCAACATGGTGCTCAGTTACGAGTGGTGTACCACAAGGATCTGTTCTGGGTCCTCTTCTATTTGTGATTTTTGTAAATGATTTGGATGAAGGAGTGGAAGGGTGGATTAGTAAGTTCGCGGACGATACGAAGGTGGGTCGAGTTGTGGATAGTGCGGAGGGCTGTTCTAGGTTACAAAGGGACATTTATAGGATGCAGAGCTGGGCTGAGAAGTGGCAGATGCAGTTTAACCCTGAAAAGTGTGAGGTGATTCATTTTGGAAGGACAAACTTGAAAGCAGAATACGGGGTTAACAGAAAGATTCTTGGCAGTGTGGAGGAGCAGAGGGATCTTGGGGTTCATGTTCACAGTTCCCTGAGAGCTGTCACCCAGGTGGATAGAGTTGTTAAGAAGGCGTATGGTGTGTTAGTTTTCATTAATAGAGGGATTGAGTTCAAGAGCCATGAAGTTATGCTCCAGCTATACAAAAACCTGGTTCGGCGACATCTGGAGTATTGTGTCCAGTTCTGGTCACCTCATTACAGGAAGGATGTGGAAGCGTTCGAAAAGGTGCAGAGATTTACCAGGATGTTGCCTGGAATGGAGGGAAGGTCTTATGACGAAAGGTTGAGAGAGCTAGGGCTTTTCTCTTTAGACCGACGAAGGATGAGAGGTGACTTGATAGAGGTGTAAATAAATGATCAGAGGTATAGATAGAGTGGACAGCCAGAGACTTTTTCCTAGGGTGGAGTTAGCTATTACGAGGGGGCATAGTTTTAAAGTGCGTGGAGGTAGATATAGGGGAGACGTCAGAGGTAGGTTCTTTACTCAGAGTGGTCGGGGCGTGGAATGCATTGCCGGAGCGGGTAGTGGATTCAACCTCATTAGGGGCATTTAAGCGGCTATTAGATAGGCTTATAGAAGATAGTATAAGGTAGGGGTGGAGGTTAGATAGACCTTAGGTTTAGGGTAAAAGTTCGGAACAACATTGTGGGCCGAAGGGCCTGTACTGTGCTGTACTGTTCTATATTCTATGTTCTAGCTGCAAGACACCATCATGGTCAGGGAGATGAAACAGGAGTATGAACAGTCCAAGGGTTCCGTAAACAGCTGATTGTCACTTAAAATGTTTGCTGGCATTCGATAAAGCGGCTACACAACATTTTGGTAGCCAGTGTTTCTTTGAACACTCTTTGCTCATCAGTTGTTTGGGAGAAAACATGGCATCATTGCAGCTGGAACTGAGAAGGGGATTTCCAAAACACAGAGAGACACTCTGTCAAGAGTCTACCATCGCTTGAGCATTAGTTATTCTGGAAATGCTCTGATGATTTCAGTTAAAAAGAGAGAAGCCTTATGGTACGATGCACAGTCCCTGCTCTGAGTTGGAGTTTCTGTGTCCAAATCCTACTCCAGGACCCGGGGGGGTTGGGGGGGGGGGGGGGGTGTGGGGGGGGGGGGGATGGGAAGGTGGCACAGAAAATGTGTTTATAACATAACCAAACAGTTGGTTATCATTCTGTAAACCTTTCCAGTATTCCCAGAGCAGGCAGGAGAAGTGGGAGCATCTCCTGGTCAGCTACACTTGATGAGGAGTCAAGTACAACCCCTCAATCAATAGCTTTTGGTGGCAGGCTATTCCAAAAACCAGCTACGGAAACAGCCATACAGAAATTTACGCCTGTCTCCATAGAGATTATTACTGATTTATAAATGCTTTCAATCATGAGAATAAATTGTAATTCCCTTCGTGCTATTTTTGGTGGCTGTTTTGGTGGATTAGGTGGGTTAGACATGAAAAATACAGGGGGAGGGAATGGGTCTGGGTGGGATGATCTTCGGAGGGGCAGTGTGGACTCGTTGGGCCGAATGGCCTGTTTCCAAACTGTAGGGATTCTATGAAGTCAGTCTCAGACGTGACAATAGTGATGCCTTAGCAAGACAATGGAATAGGGTGTCACTCAACCCTTTCAAAATATTACTGCCATAAAAGTCAAACCTCCAGTTTTTAACCAAAAGTTCAATGTTAGAAATTTAACTTTTTCATGAGTATAAACAGTATACATAAAAGATTTCAAATACTACAAACAGATGAATTGCATCTCTGTATAACATGTATGGTGCTATCAGTGCTAGTGTGTGTTTGTCTATAGATGGGGGCATAGGGGCATGATGGGAGCATTTGGGAGATGCGACAGAAGTAGCTTTTGCAAAGTAGATAGTGGAACCACTGTACATTGGTGTTTGGTGGGAATGAATGTTTCTGCTTTGGAAGGGGTACTGATCAAATAAACTCTTTTTTTCCAGGATCACGTTGAGCTTATCAAATTGTTGCAGCTTACTTGTGAGGGTATTCCATCAAATTGCTGCCTTTTGTCAGTGGTAGAGAAGCTTTCACATATTTGAAAGTGAGCCAAGCATTTTTGAGACTCTACCTGGCATTATTAGGCTGCAAGTGTTTTTCCAGGAACTTAAAACAGGACTTGAGAATTCATATACAGTTTGCTCAATGACAATTCCTACCGTGCTGCAGGCCGCACGGGATCTGTTGCTTTCTCAAAGTCCACACAGCTCTTTCTGAAGTCGTAAGCAATGATTGTGAGGTATTGCTCTTGATCTGCAACCACTAAAGCTGGCATGGTTGAATCCCAAAACTCATTCAGATACATTAACCTCACTTGGGTTCACTCACCTCTGAAACTCAATTCACTGTCGCTGAGGCCCCCATCCTCCACTGAGCTCTCTTTCCCATTCTTTGCCCCTCCACGGCTTCTCTTCACATTCTTATAATACTGGCCCCATCTGTGTCTGCCTGCATCCTTCTTTAAGCGTTTCTCTTTAGCTCTTCTGTTCTGGAACCAAACCTGAAAGAGGTTCAAGTATTTTGATTTATACCTGTTCAGTATAATACCTGTTCAACTCTAGCTAGAGTATTTCAACACTATGTTAGGTGAAATGCAGCAGTTTATGTTTGTTATTTAAAATAATTTGTCTTACAGCCTTATGAAAGAACATATCTATGTGCTTAGGCATGTGGTTGGTTGAGTATAGGATGTACACTAACAATATTCTACATCCTGATATTTGGTGGATGGGGAGAGGCTTGGGAGCTGAATACAGCATTTCAAAACTGTATGAAGAAATTCAAAGAAGCATCCTTAATCAACAATTCTTTTGTGTCATTGATAAATATTCAACGTCTGTAGATTCAGCTTGGGGCAGGGCCTAGATATGGCTCCAGTCTGGGTATATATCATTGTTGATTAAAATTCACTAAAAACCCAGGCAAAGTCTCCCTTTCAAGGGCTCAAGTCAAGGCATAGTTCTTAATGTACTGTCCAGCCCCATAGATTCCATCTTGTTGAATGCTCAAGCCATCTAAAGATGAGGACACACAAGTTATCTAATTACCTGAGAAAGCTCTTTCACCAGGAGTCAACACAAGATTACTTACTTGGTTGTCTCAATTAGACTGAGGACATCAAGGCCTTTTACAGAGGTTAAGCTGCAGCCAAATGAAGTTTATTGACAATGACCGAGGAAAGGCATCTCAATCAATTAAATATCCCCTGGAATCCCCTTCATTGCCACTGCCATGTAGTTCTGAAGATCAGAGCTTGCGTGGAACAGTGGCAGGGGAAAGGATGCTGCCAAACCTGCTGAGCTTCTCCAGCAATTTGTTTCAGATTTCCAGCATCTGCTGTATTTTGCTCTTATGTGAGGCCATTTAAACTGTTTCATTCAATGGCCTTGTTCTGGAATTGATTTGGATTGCATTGCTCACCTTTTGTAAGGCTTACTGCAGCATTATAGTGAATAGCTTTCGGTGAATGTTGCTTATTTCACACAAGGATCATTCTGACACTAGCTGTAAGAAGTTAAGGTATGTGTGAATAATTTGGTTTACAATCCTGCATCTTCATCCCATTCCACTTGAGAGCGAGAAATATTTACCTCGGTTTGGAATGAGTAAACTGGTCAACACTGGTAATTGTTAAATAATGATGCTTGTCATTAGGATGTCACTCCTCAGTACCATTGTGAACTCAAAACACTGCGTTGAAGCCACTTCAACTGAAAACTGGGGACTGGGAAATACACACAAGTAGTACTTTCTAAAGTGAAAGTCTTAGTTAAAAAAAAGTTACTTCCTGCAAGTATTTTTTTCTTTCTTACCTGTACAACTCTCATATCAAGCCCTGTCTCTGAGGAAAGCTGTTCTCTCACATGGCGAGCTGGTTTTGGAGACGTTTTGTATGCATTCTTTAGTGTTTCCAACTGCTTGGCTGTAATGGTCGTACGAGGTCTCTTGGCTCCAGCCTCTGCATCAGCATCTGTATTAGATAGGATTGGTTCTTATCAGATCTTAATTTACCGGCATAAACACACAAAAGAGCTTCTGCGGCAAATCTAAAGGTTCTGAATTATGTTACAGTGCCAACATACATCAGTATAGCATCTTTGATGTGGTCAGACAGTGCAAAGCACACTACAGGAGTGTATTCATATAAAATACTGAGCCATGACAGGAGATATTAGGTCGAACGCTTGGTCAAAGAGGCACGGTTTAAACTGGGAAAGGATGAAAGCGCAAATAGCAATGCAAAGAGGCTTAGCAAGGGCTTTGGCTGATGAAGGCTTGGCCACCATCAAGAGAGCACTTACAGTCAGCCATGTTCATATTGGTTCAGTGCAGATTTCTCAAGGCTGTCGGACTGGTGGAGATTATAGAGATGGGGAAGGGTTGAGGCCATGGAGAAATTTGTAAACAAGGACAAAAATTTTAAAATCATGGTGTTACTTAACCAGGACCCAGTGTAAGGTGAGCGAGCTCACAGAGAAGATGGATGACTAGCACTTATATGAGATGGGACACTGGCAGCAAGTTTTGAATGGCCTTAAATTTCTGAAATGCAGAACTAGAGATTTTGACTAGGACGAAATTGGAAAGGTCAAGTCTAGTCAAACATACAACATATAATGTTAGAGCTATGCAGCTTATAATTGTCTCCAAGCACTTCAGTGAAAAAGTACAATGGCTGCCAATTGATAGAGTACATTTCCTTGTAAGCTAAGATCTTGAATTCATCTAATTTTATATCATTGAAGAAGCAATATTGTACATAGTACGCAATTCACAATAGTGAAGAAATTTATAATTGATATGTCAAAAAACATATGGAAAAACATTTTAGGATGAAGTTACTTCTATGAAAATACACTACTGTGAGCGTGTGAATAGATACTGTCTCACAGTCGGACCACCTTATTGAATCCTTTACTGTCAAAGTATGAGCAACCAGAGACCTGGGTGAGAATTTCCACTGTGAGATCTTTCCCTCACCTGGTGTAACTCCACCAGATGCATTAAAGAAACCTGGAAACTAGTGTCATTTTTCCAGAGTTTCCATACTTTTCCATTGAAGTCATGATAGAGACACAAAGATGAATCCCATGGTGTTAAAATCTCCTTTGTTGATGGGCCATAGAAAAAGCTTTTGACGTGACTGATGATGGACTCCTCCATCTTGGGGAAATGATAGACAATGTACAGGGTTGGTATCATTTCTGACTTGTATATAGTCTATTGTGGATGTGGAGACTGAATCCTTTGACGTGGCATGTGATTATTCAATAGGAACCTTGAAAGGAGCCACTGATAACTTCAAAGGACCAACACTTTTATTGCACATAACGAAAGCAACATGGCTGAAGGAGTTAAGATATGGATCAGGCATGATCTAATTGAATGACAGACCAAGCTAGAGAGCTGAATCACTAACAAGCTTGCTGGTAGTCTGTTCCATCCACCTTTTACAAGGTTTATGGAACACAAACTACATTATAAAATTAATGGTTCTCATGTAAAACCAATGCAAAAGACCACTAGGGAGAATTTGTTTGAGTAGCATTGCTTCTAGCAGTGCCACATAGATTCTGTAAATTCCCTGAGCACAGGCCTGCCACCAGATCACTGTGCTGTCCATTTTCTTTTTGGCAATGCTATCGCTGAGAAAGCTAAGGCAAATGAGGCAAGTATTAACTGCTGGCACTGTCTGTACCCAGGGAATCAATACAGTTTGTGAAAGACATGCTGTGCAAACAAGTTTCTTCCACTGCATTTTCAAGACTTTTCTGAAAAAAGCTGCAATGATTTCAGAACCTATTTTTATTTCAAACAGGTAAATCAACGCAGTAGCTTCAAGGCCAAAAGGTAGAATATCCATTCTAGATATAATGTATAGGTTGACCATTGCTTTTCAGGTACCTATTGGATAGTGTTGATTCTGCATACAGAACTTATTCAGCTGGGACATACTGGCCTGCTGATCTGCCATTTTCTACATTCTGAGATGATGAAAAGTTTAATAAATTCACCAGCAGATGAATAGAGGTCAATAAATCCAAGTGTATGAACCTGTCATGGTCGCATCTAAAGAAACAGCTTAGCTTTTAAAAAATGCTGTCTGCAATAAAAAGAAAGCTACTTGTGAGAGTAAAGCCTGATCTATAACAACACTTTTATAAGAAACATTTTGGACTGAAAACAGCCTTTGACTTCAATACAAAAGAATATCAAATGTGGTGTAAAAGGCACTTTCTGAAGAAGGGTCCAGACCCGAAACGTTAGCTTTCCTGCTCCTCTGATGCTGCCTGGCCTGCTGTGTTCATCCAGCTCTACACTGTGTTATCCCATTTACTGTGCCTCCTTTTCGAGTTATTGGTACAGACTAGTTTTATCCTTGATGCTGGGTGAAGGATATCAATGCACTTTCCTTCCCGAGTTTCCTGTTCTCCCTTCTGAAATGCTCTGAGCAGCTTTTCCAAGAGCATTGACACATCTCCACTATACTCCCACACAGGGAGGTAGAGTATATGTTTAACTCAATTTCAATGACATTACTTCCTACATCTCTGGCTACTTCCCCAATATTATTTAATCAATACTCTCCACAAAAATCAAGTTTCAATGGCTAGCTTGTGTTTACTACGAACTGCAGTTGATCCAATAAGAGTAATATCCAGGATAGGTGACACACAGAACATAACCTAGATACATGTCCCTAGATTCGATGGGCTTTTCATTTAACAGGCCAGCCATGTGGAATCTTCTCAAAATCCTTGCTAAAACTCCATGTTGGGCACATAAATTGCATTTCCTTCATCAATCCTCCTTGTTATTTCCTCAAATGAATTAAAATCAAGTTAATCAGACTATCTTCCAATTCAAGGCAAGATGTGCACTAGTAAAAGTATGTTCTACCAGTTGTATGCTGCATATCTTTGCAGACTGGTAGAAAACTGGTTGATCATGTTGTGTAGTTTGAACATATTGGCTGATCTTCCCCAGTCCAAGCAGGTACATTCAGAGACAGGGGACAGGATGCAAGCCAAAACCCCAACAGATTATCTCCCTTATCTTGTACTGCCTTTGGGCAGGTTTCCCAAGGCTAGGCAGCCCATTCTACAGAGTTGAGCTGGCAATTAGTCCAGAAAAGGCTTCACTCAAGCTGATAGCATTTGCCTGACCTGTTCCAGTTCCAAACTGTGCCTCAAGGGCAGCAATGATGCAGCGGGACAACCTCACCACGAGTGGTGAAGAGAACCATCAGCTTACAGTCCCTTTTCCCCTTACAGCTCAATGAATGAGCAACAAGCATGGAAAGATGATACAGGGACAAAATCATTCCTGTGGAGGGATACTTCTTCTGCCAAAATCACCCAAATACTACGTGCCTTCTTTAATTTTCAAGTTCTGGTAGGCTTCTGAAAGTCTTCTGAAAGTACCCCCACATTGAAGAACCCTCACTCTTGTCTTTTTGCCACAAAAAATGCCATCTCTTTTGGTGGGTTTCAAGCCTTCCAGCTCTGTGGGTCCCACTTTGAGAAACCACTTACTTTCCATAATTAGGTGGCACACATGGAGACAGACAATTAAGAGCCCGCCTCTTCCAACATGGCACAGAGCTGCATCTGAGTGGCAAATACAGGCTCAAGAAATTTTATTTTATTCATTTAAAGAATGTGGACATCGTTGGCTAGGCCAGCATTTGTTTCCAATCCCTGATTACCCTCGAGAAGGCATTGGTGAGCTGTTGACTTGAACCACTGTAGTTCTAGGGGTGTAAGTAAAACCTGTTAGGAAGGGAGTTTCAGGATTTGAAGGAATGGTTATATTGTTCTAAATTAGGATGTTGTAGCACTTGGAAGGGAACTTGCCAATGGCAACGTTCCTGTGTAACCGCTGCCCTTGACCTTCTAATCAGTGGAGGCCACAGGTTTGGAAATTGCTGTTACAGGAGGTTTTATTCTTTGCTTCGGTGCATCTTTCTTGCTATCAGCAACTGTGCATCTGTGGTTCAGGGAGTAAATGTTGAAGGTAATGGATAGGGCACCAATCGAACATGCTCCATTGTACTCCTTATTTGTGCCTTATGGATGTTGGATAGAATCACAAAGCAAGTTATGTCCTCTGGAATTCCCAACCTCTGACCTGTTCTTGTAGCCACAGTTTTTGTATAGCCAGTCCAGTAGAATTTCTGGACAATGGTGTTCCCCCAGAATTTTGATAATGGGAGACTTAGAGAAATGCCATTCAATGTCAAGAGGCAATGGTTACATGCTTTCTTGCTCGAGATTGTCATTGCCTGGTGCTTGTGTCGCACAAATGTTACTTGCCACTTAACAGTCCAAGTCTAAATGTTGTCTGATCTTGCTTCATATGGACAAACAGCTTTTATGGTATTTTGTATATTACATTTGTTTTATTGGTTGTGGGTATGGGATCCTTTACGTTTGTCAGTACATCAATACCCACAACCAATAAAACTAATGTAATATACAAAATACCATGCAAGGACTGTGAGAAACATACTAGGCCAAACTGGAAGAAAACTGACAATTAGAATACACAAACACCAACTAGGCACCAAGAGACATGACCAATTCTCACTGGTGTCAATACATACGGACAAAGAAAGACACAAATTTGACTGGGGCAACACATCCGTAATAGCATGAGCCAAACAGAGACATGCCAGGGAATTCCTGGAGGCCTGGCATTCCAACTGGAATTCCATCAACAAACACATTCAACTGGACCCAATATACAAACCACTGAAAAACAGAACCTGAAGTAATGCCAACCAGCCCAGCAAACCGAGGCATATAAATAACAAGCGGGACAGAATGCCAATGCTTCACTGGAGGCGCATTGACAATGTTACCTAGCAGGGTGACGAAATGTCTGCAATCAAACACACTGGCTCGGCAAGCAAGTCTACAAGCTCATCAGTCCCATTTAGCTTAGTGGTAGTGGTAAAGCCAGCCTAAT